TGTTTCTTTCCTGCTCCTGTTTAGTTTCCCAGGGAACTTCTACAGTCAGTTTTAGATAATACTCCCTTTTCACTGTTAGTCACAAAAGCAGTCTCATGTCATCAATTAAAATACCCATCCTGTGTAAAAATAAAGAATTTGAACTTCATTTAACTTTCTAGTTTCTCTTTTCTCCCAGCCCGATAAATTCTTAGGAGCCTGAACTTCAGACAGATATGTGGTCAGTTTATGTTTTCTCTCCTGACCCCTCCTCCTCTAGTAATTTGTTAGTTATGGTTTTGACCTCAGGAAGATTGAGAGGGGAGGAAGGGGTGGAATTGAAGGTTCCAGAAAGGTTTTTCTTCCCCCTCAGTAATGTAGACTGGCAAATGTACGGTGCTATCCTTTGCTTTTCATATGTGCCGGAAGAAAAGTCTCTGTAGCTGTGTAGGAAGGAATCAAATTGGTTGACAGTCCCAGCTCTGGGCTAAAGAGAGTAAAGATCGGTTGTAACTGCTTTATAGAGGGGCTGGCCAGAGTTCTGTAGGAAAAGCAAAGTATTAAATTAAGCAACCGAGTACCTCGTGACGATGCAGTAGTGGTAGAACAGCACGCTATAATTCTTAGTGTACTTTAACAACTAAATGCTGGCAGCAAAAAATTTTTTGAGTCATTTTTCTCTAAAACAGATTCCGGAAGTGCACTCTTAAAATAAGTTCATTTTTGGAGTGTCATCTTAACTAGATAGCGGCAGGCCAGAAGACAGACTTCTTCCCATAGAATGGCCCTGCCTTTTCCACAGATAGGACTGTGTTTTAGCAAAATCTGTGTGTATTGATTATGGCTGACTGAAACAAACTTCAATAATTGAGAGCCAGAACTGTAAGGATTAGCTTTTTATAAAGAAGAAAATTAAATATGGAACTTTGTTTTTTTATTTTTATTTTTTTAAAGATTTTATTTATTTATTTATTTGAAAGATTTTATTTATTTATTTATTTGACAGAGAGAGAGAGAGAGAGAGACACAGCGAGAGAGGGAACACAAGCAGGGGGAGCGGGAGAGGGAGAAGCAGGTCTCCCGCTGAACAGGGAGCCCGATGCGGGGCTCCATCCCAGGACCCTGGGACCACGACCTGAGCCGAAGGCAGACGCTTAACGACTGAGCCACCCAGGCGTGCCTAAATATGGAACTTTAAAATGACTGTCAAAAATTTTTATTTGAAGCATATTTTATAGGCAAAAATTCTAGGCAAAAATGAAACTGCATTTTACTTATGGACATCAAACATTGTTATAAATAAAATAAGGAGATTTTTCCTCCCTTGAAAGCCAAAACATTAAAATGAAAAACCAAACAATAAAACTATGAACTAAAGAACAAGTCTGAATCAATGAATAGATCATAGTGTTAGAACAGGATGTATTTACCTTAAACCAGATACTAACATACTCTATATATTCAAAGTGAAAAATTAGGAAGTCATTATTAATTTAGAAAAAGACTTATTGCATGCCATATTTGAATAGCTACCTCTCATTTATCATTTTAAAGTAATATCAATTTTCCAAAAAAGCATTTCTGAGAAACGTATCTTTTAAAACCATATTGCTCAGGGCCAAGGGGGGCAAAAAATGAAGGAAAAGACAGAGTTTCCTGGAGAAGCTTATACTTTCACTGAGGAGGCAAAACAGATCATCAAGGCTCGAGTGAAGGAAGAGCACATGATAGGGAGGGTTTCAGTGACTGTGAGCACATTAAAGGCCGTTGGAATTTAGAGCTCACAGTCAAATCATGGTCTAGGAGGAGACAAGCTGCAGTTGGATTTCGAGTAATGTCAGACCAGTTGAGGATGGTGGGGCCGGTAGGAAGGCACCAGTTAAGAGGAACATCAGTGGATGGTACGGAACATGAAAAGCAGGAAAAGGTAATGAGATACTCTGTTAATGCGAAGGGCCCACAGTAGAGAGAACGTCATATGCAGAAAGCTCCAGCGCTATCCTGCAAGGGACAGAGACTAGGGTGGCACTGCAAAGGAGAGCGGGAATAATGCTGATGACAGAGAGGAGTTGTTGTGCTTTCGGAAGAGGCCATGACTACATCTTACCAGCTTAGAAATGGTTCTCTGGGACTCAGGAGAGAAGGAAGAGCAGCTTTGGAAGAAAGAGTTTGATTTTGGAACTAGAGCAGGTGAAATTGTCCTGGACATCCTGCTTGTCTCTTCTCCTTCTCAGGGCCAACCTCATCCTGGCATATCATTTAAATCATCCTTAAGAAGATATTAACTTAACTGGTACTGGTTAATATCTTTACTCAGGGGAATTGAATTTAAATGAACGTACTAGCAAATCTATGGTTTTCATCCTTTTTTTGGCTCAATGTATATTCAATAGGCAGTTATGATATGCCAGTTACTGTGTTAATCATCCCATAGTGGTGCATTTTTGGGAAAATGTAAAGAGCAGTGAGGGAGATATACCCCAGAACTCTTAGAATTTAAGGGCTGCAGTGGGCTGCTACGGCGGCTAATTTTAAGGCAAGCCCTCCTGTCCTCCTGTGTTCTTATAGCTCTCTCTGTCTCTCTCTTGTCTTTCCCTCTCACATGTTTTCTTATTATATTCTATGATAATTTTCCCCTTACGCTGACTTTTAAAATTTAGTATATTCAAAAATCTTATTGTGTGCATTCTTGTAAGCTATTTCAGATACTTTGTGAGCAAGGCTAAAAATAAACTCAAAGTAAGAAGACTTCAGATCATGCCAACCTGATGAATCAAATGTTTTTCATTTGTATTTTCTCCCAACCTTTATCCATATGAATACATAATTTGCACATATTTATAGTCAGAGTGTTCGGGTAAAAGAGAAGAAAAATAATTTACCCTCTTTCAAGGAAGAGTGGCACACACGGGCTGTAAATACTTCAGCGGGCCCTGTACATAGGATCCCTGGTGGCTACAGAGTCACCTCCATCCTGTTGGCATAGAGCATCAGGGAGGCAGCTTGCCGAGAGCGCCTATGTTTAGCCAAGGTGGGTTGTGTGATAAGAGGGAGGGGGCCCGGCCACATGCTGTCTGACTCATCCTCTCAAGCACACGTGTCAGTGTCTCCTCAGTTGGGACAGCCTCCTGCGGAAGACAGAGCCTGCCTGTGACTTTTCTGCCACCTTCATCAATTTTCAGAAACTAATAGGTGCTGGGCACTGTTGAGCCTTCAGTAACTCACGTGGCCGATAACATCATTATTACTTGCTGCTGGCCCTCACGCAATTGCCCTTTCTCTGGTTTGGAACCGCAGCCCGAACTTCGGTGCAGTGCCTGACTCTTCCCCGGCCTCCAAAGCAGTCTGCCAGGCCACTGAAGGGATGCAAAAATGAAGCTACTTGACCTACTGCTTCGTTCTCGGGCATTTCGTGTTCCATTTCTGTGCGCATACGTAAATATATGCGTGATACGTGATTTCGGATCATAGCTGGTCCCACATAATTTTTAGGATCCTTTTGGGGGGTAATCGGCCAGAGATAAAGAGCACAGCATAATTTTGAGCATGGATTTTAATAATTGCTTTACATTTACTGATCTATGATCACAGCCTCAGTTTTATCATCTTTATTTTGGGCCTATTTGTGTTCTCCTCCGGGTTCTGTGTTTTACCGGGGTAAGGGACGCGAGTGGCATGGTGCGCAGTCTAAGCAGGCGTCGGTGTTTGACTGATTGCCGTCTGCCAACGGCCGAGAGAGCTGCAGACGGCTTCCCTTAGCTGACATCACCATGAAGAGGCTCTTCTTACAAAGAGGGCAGACATATCTATTATCTGCCTTCCTCCTAGGAACACTGGCCACCTAGATCGCAAACAGGAGTTTTCCACTGAGGCCAAACAAGGTCACTGGCTTACCTACCACAGGTGCTAAGTCTGAATCTTGACATTCCTTAATTCCAGCTTCTAGGCCAACATTGTTTGGCTCAGGAGTCGACTATCAGGGCATACGTGCAACTGTATTATCAATTAATGGATATGAACATATGGCTACAAAGTACCCTCACTCATGAGGGGGCCAAAAAGAACCAGGAACCAAACTGCACTTAAATCAGATGAGATACCTGTGATTTGATCCACTTCCTGGCGATGTAGTTATAAGACTTTAATTCATTGAAGAACTGGTTCACGAAGGCTCACTGGGTGGCTTTAGCGCTGTGCTACCTTGGGAAAGTGATATAACTTCTGAGGGCCCTCGTCTATGAATCTGAACCCATCATATCTGCCAGCTCCTTTCTGGGGCTCTTATGAAGTTCATGTGGTGTGTATGTAGGCTCTTTGTAAATGGTGAAATTCTAAACATATAAGTGGTTGTTTATAGGCTCTTACGCATCCTGCAGGTGTTGCATGCTATTAGCTGGCCGACTTTTCCCAACATTATTTTCCCTCTATAACTGAACTCCTGAATGTCTACCATCCCACCTACAAAGGACATTAAATTTTAGGGAGTAAAGTCACTTCTTCAGTTGCTCTTATGGTGATCATTAGTCATGATTAGGCAGAATTCTACTGGTTAAGATATAATTCCAGGGAGGCCTAGAAGGCACCTTCTTTGTGCTCATTTCCCAAATATATCCCTGACAAACTTGCTAATAATGTAAAGTTCTGAAATTGGGAATTCATGTCATTGTCACAGTTTTAATGGAATTACATTTTAAGATCTACCATTCAAATATGCCTTATTAGGAATTAAGTTCATCTAATAGTTTTAATAAGTTTTCAGTAGAGGAAAGGAATGGAACATGAGCTGATAGGGCGGAGAGCCAAAGTCTCAGAGAAGTTAAGTGTAGAGAGAGAACACAGTGGCTATGCTATATCAGAATTTCTCTCCATGTGGATGGTAGACTATTTGGACTATGTCTCATGATTAATGTTGCTTTAATTCTCTAGGTGACCAAAAATCATGTAAAATTATCTAGAAATAAATCTCAGCAGAAGGGCCAAAATACTTCAGATGGAGGAAAGAGAAGAGAAATGCATCTTACCCAGCAGGTCTTGTGTCTTCAATGGCTCTGTCCACTGGGATCAAATCGCTGAGGTAGACATTGAAGTTTCCTTCTTTCCATCTTCTTTCTGCCTCCTTCTCCTTTCCACGGGGAACGACTACGGGCCGTCCAAATTGGCCTGGAGCTTTGGGGTCCCTTGGAGAAAGTGTCACGTCAATTTTTAACACATGGTGCATTCCACGTTCTTCAGGTAACAGGGCTTTTATACGATTTTGGTTGAGTTCTGCAGGTTGGGCCTTGGCAGTCAAGTTGATTCTTGCTGGCTCTAGCCCCTCAGCTAAGGCTTGATGGGATTGAGAGACTGTTGCTCTCCGTGGAGGGAAAGATGCCTCACTTCTCTTCCTGGAAATGTGTTTCCCTCGGCTTTCACCCAGTACAATAGGGAGCACAGTTTTGTTTTTAGGATTGGGGGCCTGTTTGGTGTCTGTCTTTAGCTTCTCCTCCTTAGTTATAATCACAACGTGGCTTTCAGAGAAACTGAATTTCTTCCCACCAGCCACTTTGGCTCCATCATCCTTTGGCAAGCCTCCCAACGGTGCTTCGTTAATAGATTGCTTCTTTGAGCGATTTGAATTGGCAATAAACTTGGAAAAGGGAAGGCTCTTATTGGCTCCGTGTTTATTTGAATCTAGTTCTTTGCTCTGAGTCTCAGTTTTATTTAAGGCTATGGCTTCCCTAGATTTTGGCAACAGTGGGCTGGCAGGGTGTGTCCTCTCATTTGCTACTGCCTGTGATTGCTGCTTTGATCTGTCAGTATCAGGACTGAGGGTCACTTTTGGATTTCTTTCGGCTGCTTGTTTTGATGCATCACTGCCAAGACTAGGACTCTTCGGGGCCTCCTGGTTTATACGGTCAGGTCCTGCGTGTACAGAAATTTCGGCCAACTGAGTCTCTCTTGCAGCTATGAATGGGGTTCTCTGAGCCCCCTGAGTCCTCATTTGCTTTGCCATGTGGCGAGAGTAGGCTTCAGATCTGAGGTCCTGCCTCTCTGTGTTTTGCTTGGTCAAAGTCACCGGAAGGGTCTGTAGATACTCAGGATGCCACAAAGGGGCGACCTTGCCCCTTCCCGGGGTGTTCTGCATTTTTCTTTCCCTCTGGGTTTGGTCCAAGTCATCCTCAACCTCGAGCATACCCTTCTCAGTTTTTCTAAAGCTCTCTTTGCCCCATATGCCCTTCCCGTGTCCCCTCAGTGGGTGCTTCATTTCTTTTATGCTGCTGTAAAGGATCTTAGTTTGGTCTGGCTGAACTCGGAATCCTATCTGCTCCCTCCTAACGATGTCTTCCTTGAGGACCCGAGTGTTGATCTCACTGAATGACAGGCGGAGAGCTGCCATGTCAAAGAGCAGCCAGATGACAGAAGCTACAAATATAAATGCCAGGACTCGCCCGCTTCCTCGGAAAAACTTTCGAATCTTGTTCATGGTGCAGAGGCTTCACTTGCTGCCTACCCTCCCCTGGAGCCTGCTTACCTTGTGTGGGAAGAGGGAGCTGAAGTAGCAGCAGCAGGGTTGCCAGAAAGCACCCCCTCCCCTGAACCCAGCGGCAAGAGCGGTCCAAGGGGGAAAGCTCAGCTCCGACTGCTTGTCAGTCTCTGCCTGCGTGGCATTTCACAGCAGAGCCTCTGTGCCTGCTCAGCTGTCCCCTGGCTAAACCATGCTAAACACTGCCCGTGGGTCACTCCGGGAGCAGTCGATTCCAGCCACCGGACAGTTCAACATATCACTTGTCTCCCCCCCCACCAAGCCCACGTCCACCTTCCTATAAGCCCAAGAAAAGGTGGGGGCCGGGCTGGGGCTGCCACTTCTCTCCTCCCAGTGCTCCGTCTCCACGCTGTAACTCAACACCACTTCTCATAAGGAAAACATTTCGAGCCATTACCCAGAAAACTTCATTCAGCTCTCACCTTCCGTGTTAGGTGAGAGCGTGTGTGTTTTCCGGGCAATTAAAAGGAAAGAAAACTTGGAGGGCATGTGTTCCTGGTTTGTAACCCCACCTACCCCATGCCTGCTCATTAACCCTGTTGTGCCCGGGTGTCTGAACGATCTGGCCCAGCAAACAATCACTGACCTTCATGTTTCGGCTTTGAGAGGGAACAGCTTAAAGAAGGGGTCTAGCGCGATCTCAATACCAGAGGTGGATCTTTAATCACTCAGCAGTTTTCCTTGAGTGGGAATCAAAATGTTTCTTTAGAAGTCAACGGTTTTTTAAAATGACTCCATCTATTTTTATTATTAGATTGACTAGACATAAACTTAATTTGTCATATTGTTCTAAAAGCTTCTAAATGCTTACTCTCAGTTTCGGTACTTATCTTGCCACAGAGCGGTAACAAACACTTTGCAGAGTGTCTTGGGGGTTGGACCAGACTTGGGGTGGCACTGGGAGACTGGCAGAGCAGTGGTCCCCACACAGGCTTCATGTTAGAATCACTCTAAAGAAGTGGCCCCCCAGCCCCCAATTCTGATTGACTGATGGGGAGTGGGGGCAGCGACAGTAGTTGGTCTGGTGTTGTGCTTTTAAGAAGCTTCCCGGGTCTCTATAATGTACAGCCAAAGCTGAGAAACACTGGTCTAGAATAAAATACCTCTCATTTTTTTTAAAAAGGTTTTATTTATTTATTTGACTGGGAGAGAGAGCACAAACAAGGGGAGTGGCAGAGGGAAACGGAGAGGCAGACTCCCCACTGAGCAGGAAACCCCACTCAGGGCTCCATCCCAGGACCCCAGGATCATGACCTGAGCCAAAGGCAGACACTTAACTTACTGAGCCACCCAGGCGCCCCATATTTTTTGTTTGTTTTTGAACACTCTCATAATTTTTGTGAAATTCCCTCCCAGATAGAGTAAAACTGAATCAAAATCCGCATTTTAACACCACCTATTATAAACATTGTTTGAGAAGCACTTCCGGGGAGCACTGTTCTCTTGGGATCTTTGAGCGATCTGTAGACAGCAATGCCACTTATTATTCCAGTGTGGGGGAGGGTGGGGGCATAGCGTCTCTGCTCTCAGGTAAATATGGGCTCCTGAAGACTTGGGAAGGGAAGAAGCTTACAAATTCTGAATTCTCTATACTTATGCATTACCTTCTGTAGCATTTGGCCTTTAAATCTGCACCTTGCCCCAACGGAGGGAAGCCCGATAAATGCAGCTATGGTAACATGTTTCTTGAATCCCCGATTCTCCTTTTTATTCAGTGCCTGCTCACTCCGGTTTGGATTGTCCACATGGGGGACAGCTTTGGTAGTTTAGTCATTGCCTGCCTGCTGTGATTCATCCACCTTTCCAATATTTGCTATGTTTTATGACTCAGGTCCTGTGTTAGGTATTGAGGGATATGGAGTAAAAGGCCATAGTTCTTGTCTTGGACATCTCACACTCTACTGGTGGACACAGACAGGTAGGCGGATTTACAGGACATGATACGTAATACGAGAGAATAATCTACTGGATTCTACAGGGACTTAGTTTAGTTTTGGGATGCATGAATAAGTTTTGAGGAAACTATCCTTAGACTTGAGGGGTGAATGAGAACATAATTATTTCTGCCCATATTGTGGTCTGCGAAAAGAAATATTAGTTGGATGGTGAAAGGCAGCTAAATTAGCAAAAATCATAAAGTGAAGAGAGAGTATAGTACCTGAGAGGAAGCACAGATGTCTGAGAACAAGCAGGACTGGCAACACAGGCTTTGCTATTAGTGGGCATGAGTGTGTGTGTGTGTGTGTGTGTGTGTGTGGATGTACCCGATGTGTCCCAAACAGGTTATTGACCTCTTTCCATAAAGTATCTCACTCGATCTCCACACAACCCAACAGGGAAGATACAGTGAGAACTATCACTCTGTTATCAAAGAAACAAAGCTTAGAGAGGTGAAACAACTGGCAGTAGAAAAGGAGGATTTGCATCTGGAATAAATGACTGGGTGACACTGTAGTGCTTACATGCCACACGTGCTGCTTCTCTAGCCGTCCAATCTTGTGCATTAGTTAATGCCGTGTGTTTACTCTGCGATTAAAAAAAGAAAATAAATTCTGCCTTGCAGGGGAATGTAAAGATTAGAGAAAACAATTTAAAGTTCTTGTTATATTGAATGATAGAGTCACTGCTTCTAATACGGTTGCTGATATCTTGTGTGATAGGAGTGTGGGGTGCATGTGGGAGACAGCATACTGGCTCTTCTCAAAAATCAAACAAGAAGACTGATGACTAACATTCTTTTGGCAAAAGGACGAGAAGGATATTTGAGTATTTTATTTTTGGCTTGCTGTTCCTAATTCCCTTATTTTGGACTCACTCAATGAAGTCACTATATGCCCAAAACATTGAAGTAGCAACTTTGTTTCTGCCCCCTAATGACTTTAAAACTCCACTGAATAGAATACCTTCGACATAAAACATAGCAAACTATTTAGGATCCAAGTTCCAAAATAAAGTAAGAGGTTGTTTTTCATATCATGGATATGTGGTTTACATTACAATATTGCTTTAAATATGAAAATAGGATGCTTTGAAATATTTTACTATCCAAGATTTAAGTCTTGTCCAACCACATCTCCACCCCAAATGGCAGCTGGAATTACTCAAACTCCTGTTAGAAAAGTCAGCCCTTATTACAACCTTACTAATCTCGACAGCTTTAAACACTGCTTGAAAAATATCCTGAGTCTTCTATATTTATTTGATCTAAGAACAATGATTTCTTTCTCTCTCTCTCTCTCTCTCTTTCTCTCTTCCTCCCTCTCTGGTCTTTCCTTACAAATCAAAATATAAAGCAATTGAAACAGGAGGGAAGATTGTTAAGAAAATTAAAGGAGAGTCCTGGCTTATCTACCTTAGGTAAAGTTACTTATAAACTCTGGCTTAGTATTGACTTCTAGCTAATATAAAATACAGAATAAGACATGAAGAGTACATAAGAGAGAAAAAAAATGTTGACCTAGTCCTTTGCAACAGAAGGAGTGGATTGGCAGACTTGGTCTAAAGTACTGACCTGACCATTAATAGATATGATCATGGATATGATTACACATGAAAGAACTCTTCTGAAGGCCTCTTCCAGCCACTTTCCCATTTTTTTCCCCTGGTGAGTCTATAAGAATCTGTAGGAATGACCGAAGTTGGTTATAAGCTACATTACCGACCCAACGTTATGGAGCTTCAGGAACCCAGCAATAACTTCTGGTGGCTCCCAGCAGCTATACATAGCTCCTCTTTTTCCTCTCTTGTCTGGACACATGATGTTCATACCAATGACAAAGTGTGGACAAAAAGAAATAGATTAAAGAAAAAGAAATAAAAAACAAAGAAATTAAGAAATTCTACACTTAATGGAAGTCAATACACACATTATCCAACAGATGACATTTCATATATGTAAATGGTGCTGTTTTTTTATTTTACTTGTATTAATTTCCATGTTACCAACATAAAAATAAATATATAGGTGGGCTGACTACTTAAGATACGTGTGGCTGTCATCCCAAATGGTAGCTTTAGCTGCTCAGATTTCTTAAGAATTTATACATAGTTAGTTGGAGTGGGTATCAATCTAAAAATCTTGAGTTATGAAGTAATCCTTGGGAGGCTTTTGGAGATGCTATTCTAATTTTCATTCTGACTCCACCTGTAGTAAAAAAAATAAAAAGTTTTAGCTTTTTCTTCTGTAAAATGGGTATATCAGTGGGGGGGCTCTCCTTTACTTGGTTGCTGTCAAAGTAATCATATTAATAACAACTGTTTATTGAAAATTTACTGAGTGCCTGCCAACCTAGTGGATCATAGATTGTTCAACAGCACAGTGCTGTGTATTAGAGTGGGATCTGAACCTTTATGCTATGTCCATGGCAAATACCTCTGAATCATCCTCATTGTTAATTATAGGAGATTAATAAACATGTTTTTATTTCTAGCCTCAAACTTCCTCAGTGGAAATATAGAATCTTAGAAGTACTGGTTCCAGTTCTCGGATTTGCAATAAGGTTACTCTCTCAGAGTATTTGACTGTTTCTTGATTATATAAGTATATTCTGATTAATTAATATCTATTTTCTTTTATGATTTTTCCTCAACTGCTTAGTCCTAATTACAAAGGGTATAAAAAAAGGATACGAAAGGATATAAAAAGAAAAATGCATTTAGGCATGTATTTTATGGAGAATAATGATAATCTATAGATGCATCACTGAATTTGAATTTAGATTTAAATTTAGAGATTCTAGTTAAAGACAATATGGAATGAAGTTATTATTCACTTGAGAAATTCAAATAGGAAAACCAAATAAATATTATGTGTATCATTTTGCTTTCTTATTTTAATATGGTCATTTTTTTCCTCCAAAATTCTTTTTTTTTGACAAAAAAAAAGTATTTAGCAGGATAACACCATCCTGTGAACAAAATCCACAAAAAAAGAGAGAAGATTGAAAAATTATAATTTAAAGCCTGGAGTTATTGCAAAATCCATGGGTAAACTAAAAATACAAATCAGAGTCTTGTTCCATTTTAAGCTGTTCTTCCAAAGAAGATGGTTGACTATAAATTCTGGCAGCCATCTAAGATATTGGTGTATGTCTCCTTCTTTAGAAGTTTTGGAAACTGATTAAGAAATGGCCTCAGTGACTAAGGCCCACAGAAGGAGAGCTGCTGTAATATTCTGTTAAACATTTGTTCTTGAAAAGAGTTTCCCAGGGCTCCTGGATGGTTCAGTCAGTTAAGCGTCTGCCTTCAGCTCAGGTCATGATCCCAGGGTCCTGGGATCAAGCCCTGTGTCTGGCGCCCCGCTCAGCAGGGAGCCTGCTTCTCCCTCTCCCTCTCTAGCTCCCCTGGCTTGTGCACACTCTCTGTCAAATATATAAATAAAATCTTAAAAAAGAAAAAGAAAAAGAAAAGCTTTTCC